TTATGTGAATTGATAGAAATATATGTAAGTAGATAGGTAATCTATTAGGTTTAATTTGGAGACAGTTAGTTAATTCGATTGTTACTTCTCCAATAAAATATGTAATTAATTGACTTGTCATTTGATTATTTGGGTGGATAGTTGGCTTCTAACTTAAATCTTGAATTATTTGGTTATTTAAATGTTTTTGTAGATGATCGCTAGATGGGGGAGTAAATACATTTGAGGGTAGGTAGGTAGGCCGGTCTTTAAATGAGTTCTTTTTAATGAAGGCTAATAAATAGGTAACTTGAGCGGTATTGCTATATGGAAAATTGTTGGGCTTATTAGAATGTTAGGAGTTAGTTATACCCTTGGAAGACTAATTACTTGCATATATAGACGTACTGTTATACTGGCAGATGTGCACACAGAAGGTATGTAGCTAGACGGCATGTCGTCTAGATATGCTTAAACTTCGGCTTGTTCTTACAAAAATAGGACGTAGATATTAAGTTAGGCCCTATGGTTTTCCTTAGAATTTTCACATTAAAAGTTCAAGGTACATAGTATTAAATTAATACTGATCTTATTTGATGATACTGAAAAGACAAAAAAAATCTTATGACTGGCGCCAATTTCATTCATTTGTATTAGATGTTGCTGGTTTTCAACTCTGGTGTTCGCTGAAGTTTTTTGGCAGATTGTATATTTGGTTATGCGTTTGGTTTTGCCTGAATTTAAGGGCATTTTTGGCATCTACCCTCATTTTTCAGTGTCCATTCATCCAAAAGACATGCCAACAGTTCGTGCTCGACTAAGAACTGATTGTCAGGATCATTAGAATGGTCTGCAACTACGCCAAGTACAGCCATCTGCGGTTAACCAATTAGCAGAACCTGTTCTGGGAATGTATAACCAGGAGGCTATCTCGGGCCACATTTCGGGTCCCTTCCCAACTGCCATTTGTCAAATGTAAACGTCTATACACACTTACATGAGGAAGTGCATTAGGGCTTCGATCGTGTCCTTGTCGCTTGGTGAAGTACGAAGTAAGTTATCATTAACAGTCTTGCTCCCTAAATCTGGGGCTCCTGCCAGGGGAGTAATCTACACAAAAAGCAAAAATGGCAAAAGTTGAAGTAAATCAAAGCAAAAGTTGGCTATTTTGAGCATTCGCTTTGGATGGAGTGTATAGCCAACACCAAAGTGGAAAGTCAAACATAAATATTTTTCATACCCTTTTATGGGCAGCTTAACTTATGCTACGAAGTATTCTGTCCCTTTTTTCTTTGCCCAACCAGACGGGCTGCATTACAATAATCAAGAGAGGATATAAAGAAAGTGAGTAGCTGAAAGGAAGTATCCCTTAAAGAAGTTACCTGAACGAAACTGGCCTCTATCTTATCATCTATCCGACATATTTCTGGAAGCTTGCCTTGCTGAAGTACCTAAGATGTCACGCTTGGGATGGCTTTTAGGCTGAGACACCTGACTGAAGATTTTCTTGATTTGTGTTATCAAAGGACACGTCGAAGCTGAAAAAATGTATTTGTGCACGGGCTAGCCCTATCGCTGAGTTATTTCACTTATATGGAAATAATTGGCTCCGAGACTACCGGTAGATCTTGAGTGCTGGTAGTGATGATGAAACCTAGACGAGAGGAAAACTTCTGTTTATTTCCAGGTGAGAAATTCAACTATTC